GGAGGGGGGAGAGGCAGCAAAACAAGACGCCCACGCAAGCCCAGGACCTGCTGCGGCTGCCCAGCCGGCGCGGCCGCGCGGGCGCCGCAGCCGCGGCAGGCCCGCCCCTACTCGCTTCCTGGGGAGCAGGAGGAGGCACAGCGTCGAGGGGGGTGGCGATATTCTGGGGGTGCTCCTCCTCCTCCTCCTCCTCCTCCTCCTCATCTTCCCCTTCGATCCTCCTTCTCTCTCCTCCTCCTCCTCCTCCTCCCTCCTCCTCCCCTTTTCTCCTCCGCCCTCCTCCTCCTTTCCTCCTCCTCCTCCTCCTCCCCCTCCTCCTTTCCTCCTCCTCCTCCCCTCCTCCTCCCGTTCCTCCTCATTCTGCAGCGGCTCCGCCAACCCCTCCAGCAGAGGGGAAAGCAGCGGCAGCCACCGAGGCGGCGGCGCCAGCATCAGCGAGGGCGGGTTCTGGTGATACTCTCCCCAGACTCTGGGTGGTCAGGGGAAGGGAGTTGCCTGAGGGAATCCATGGATGGGCAGACCTCGAACATCCCTGTACCCACCCGGTGGAGTGAAGGGAGGGGAACGGTTTCAGGCACCAGGCCGGCTCCATGGATGGCCAGCACCAGCGGCGGAGGCAGGGCTCAGGGCAGACCGACCGCGGACGCGCGGGTCGCCGTGGCCCAGTCCCCTGAGCGCCCACGCCCCAGGGCCGTCGACGGGCGGGTGGCCGTCGTTTCTGAGAGCGCTGGCTGTGTGCTTCCGCCGCGAACGGCCCTGTGCCCACCCCGAGCGGGCGTCTGGGGAGTGGCTCGTGCACGCGGCTGCGGGCCGGGGATCTGCCCCGCCACGGCGAGCCCCAGGACTGCGCACAGCCAGCCTCAGGAGGCAGTGTCCCAGCCCTTCTCTCTGGGGGGGCTACGGCTTCTCGTCCCGAGCCGCTCTTCCGGACGGCCCCCCGGGGCCCTCGAGGGCCCCCCGGAGACCGGGAACGGTGGATCGGTCGGGAGCTTTGAGACGGGGGTCAATGCTAGGGGGGGTCAGCCAGAGCGCCCGATCTTGCAGGATCCTGCAGAGGCCAGGGGCGCATTGACCCGGGTTTGGGTGCAGGATCCTGCAGGATCCGGCAGGATCCTTCGCATTGACCCGGGTTTGGGTGCAGGATCTTGCAGGGTTCTGCAAGGCCTGACTGACCCAGGTCTGGATTGACCCGGGCCAGAAGATCCCCGAATCGGGGGCGGCCCAGAGAGGGTGTGATGATTGGGTGGGTGGGTGGACATCATGGCTGGGCCATGAGCTCTCTCCCGACGTCGTGGCCCCCTCCCCTGACGTAGTCTTTGCTGCTCTCAGCAAGTCCTCAGGGGGAGCCCCTGGGTGGCCTCCACACCCGGCTCCGCCTCCAGCGGCGCCCCCTCGACCTCCGCAGAGATGCATGTTGCCATCGCGGTGTTCTTCCTCTTCACGTCGGCCACCATGGGCCAGATTCGGGCCCCCATCAAATTCAGGAGGAGAAAAACCACACAGACACAATCCATCGTCGATTCCCCAGAAAATATGGGAAAATATGGGAAGTGGGGGGGAAGACAAAAACCAATCAGATATGGGGAAACATGGGTAATCCTTTTATTTGTGTGTATTTATTTGTGTGTCCCAGGACCCCTTCACAAACATTAATCTGGGGCGCAAAGCTCTCCTGACCATCCTGGCACAGTTCGGTCGTACCTCGCGTCCAGGCTGCGACTTGTCAGCGAAGGAGTCGGGATATCCTGGGGCCGCAGACTGAATAACAAATCATATCGGGGAGGAGGAGGAGGAGGAGCAGGAGGAGGAGCAGGAGGAGGAGGAGGAGGAGGAGGAGGAGGAGGAGGAGGAGGAGGAGGAGGAGGACACGCACGTGGCTGATGGGGTGTTCGATGTCCGCCGTGAGAGAGCACGGCTGACTATGGAGGGCTTGGTGCCTCCTCTCCACTGACCTTGGCCTGCTCTTCGCGCACCAATCTGGCCAGGGGGATTGCGGGGGTCTTATATATGATCGGGGATGACTTAGAACCCTTGGGATCACGACCCTCCTGGACACGGGCAAGTTGAGTAGCCGCTCCTTGGTGGCTCACTCGAGTGCCACAGCCTCCAGTGAGCCCTCGACCCAATCCTTCAGAGTAGGATCCACACTTATGGCACACCGGAATACTCGTGGGATGATCAAGGTGCTCATAATGAAATAAAGCATGGCCTTTATTATCATGTACGAGGTCTGACAGCTGCTTGCAGTGGCCAGGACATTCCTTGGCCGCAAGAACTGCACTCTGTTTGGTTGACTTCGTCTGCACCCTACACAGAATGCACCGATGATACTGCGCAATTGATGCCCACGCATGAAACCTCCTAGGTACTCTGGGCTCGCGAGGGACCTCGTGAGGCACAGGCGAAGGAGGGGGAGGAGGAGGCACGACCAACGACGGCGGCGTCCACGACGTCAGGGCAGAGGCAGCACCCGTGGGGGGAGAGAGGCTCTTCTCTGGGGCGGCCAAAGCTTTGTTCTTTCTGGGGGCTATCGCGGGCCACTCCCCCAGAGCCTGAGCAACGTACTTGAGATATTTAGTAGCAAACTTCCTATCTTCGGCGAAATTGCACTTCTCATCTTCGCTGGGCTGAACGCCCTTGTGTGCTGCGGCCTTCGCTAAGCGATCCGCAGCATCATTACCTTCCGCCATTCGACGGGCCTCGCTGCCTACGGGTAGGGCTTGTGTATCTTGATGGGCTTTGACCTTTTGGAGCCTCGACCCTAAAGGAAAGAGCCCTCTGCCAGCCAAGACTTTAAACCCAGCCCAAAGATTGCGACGGGGGTACTCGGTGCCTTGATGCAGCAATAGTACTCCCTTGTAGTCAGAATCAATCACTTCAACACTGCTAGACATAAGACTGGCCGCGACTGCAGCCACATGCTCCGCGGCTCCCGACGTTTGTAAAAGCAGCTGGCCGACCCGGCCACTGAAATGGGCAAAAATTTCACCTTCTCTGAAACAAACTACAGCGAAACCAGCAGCGTTGAGCACATAGTGCCCATGATTGGTGCAACTGCCATCTATATACACTTCCCCCTCGCTGAAGGCCTCTTGAGGGGTGATACCTTCTTGAGCACACCAAAACTCCCCAAACTCTAAACCAGATCCAGGAGGAGGCACTCCACGGAACTCAGGGACCAGCTGGAACCCAAGACGTAAAAGGGGGGCCTGGGGAGGGGGCTCTCTTAAACGCTGAAGCTCCGCATCCGAGAAGTGAGTGGCTCTGAGAACTTCTGTCTTCTGGCAGTGCAGTAATCTGTGGCAGAGGTTGTCCGAATGATGGCCGCACTCGCAGCCGACTGGAACTTCATATCCTGCTGCTTTGGTTCTCTCCATGGTCCAGATACTTTGGGTGAGGAAGGCGAGTAAGGTGCCTTTCTGATGTCCAGGAAGGTCTGACGAGAGAGCCATCCGAGCAGCAGTAACGTGTAAGTGAGCGCCCGCGTGGCCGAGGTTGACGGCCGCCTTGGAGGCGAGCTGGCCGTGCCAGTCGTGCTCCATGAGCTTTTGGAGGAAGGCGGGGGGATGTCCTGGGAGCGGGTACTCAAGACCTGAGGCAGTCACAAAGGTAAACGGCCCCTGGAACTTCCAACCAATACGCTTCAGCGACAGCACCGCCGCACTGATGGGGGCCCCTGGAAGAGCCCCACGATTTAGAAACCCTCGGGAGGATGTTTTCAGCCCAAGCCCGCAGCTGTTGGAGACTAGCCACGGCCAAGTGCGGATGGGTGTTCGCATCCCAAACTAAACGATGCCACATAAGGGCGGGACCGAGGGCCGCTTTCCACAAAGGGGTCCTGGAGGATGAGCAACGCCAAGCTGCGGCTGCGGGTCGAGCATCTCGGGCCCGCGGCAGCCAGAAACTGCGACCTAGCAGATTCAAGTTGAGTGCCGTTGATGCCAGTGACCTCAACTCCAAAAGTGGTGGCCGCTTCCAGGCCAGTCTTATACAGTTTGTGAGTCTTGCCCCCAGCACGTTTTAGCATGCGGACCCTGTTAAGTCTTTTTACGCATCTTGTCAAGACGCTCCGTAAGTTTTCGAAACTTTCTCCATCTTCTCTGGGGGCGGCCTGCCCCAGTTTCAATACCCAGGTTGGATCCCGAACGATCAGGGTTCGGACCTGCCAGAGGCCCTAGCTTAGACCTGAACTGGTCTTGCAACGCTTGGTGAGACGCCAGCACCTGGGCCTTCTTGCTGGCAATCTGGCATTTAAACTCGTGGATGAAGCAATCCGCCATCGATCTGGCGGCTATGTTCAACTGGCTAACGATGAGGCTGAAACTGCGGCCGTGGCACTGTCGTAGCAAATCATCAATGAACATAGCGAGTCTAATGTGGCTATGGGCCTGTGTCCATGTGTCCAATGGGGGCGAGCACATACATCTGCACAAGGTACGTGGCCCAACTGCAGCCAGCAGCAATACCCCTCCAAGGTTTGCCGACGCTGACCGCACAATCTTGCAAAGAAACGATACGTTCGCTGACATACTGCGATAAAGTGATGCGAAATACACAACATGGAAAACCTGACTCAACAGCACGATGCGCTAGACAAGGCCGATCAACATGTTCGTAATAGTTAGATAGATCGTAAAGGACCTGGGCGCTGTATTGTTGATCTTTGGTTGAGCTGTTGAACTCGCATTCCACGGATTGTTTGTAGACCAATTCAACAATAGAGTGGCCAGCCTGGTGAGCTAGATAAGGCCGGCGATGGTGGGCTTCCGACTCTCTGGCTGCCGACCTCCTAAGGCGGGCCCAGACACGATTGAACGCTGGTAGCATGGCAATAGACCTGAACGAGGGCTGACTCCATGTTGTTTCTGTTTAATCATAGGAGGAGGAGGAGGAGGAGGAGGAGGAGGAGGAGGAGGAGGAGGAGGAGCAGGAGGAGGAGGAGCAGGAGAGGAGGAGGAGGAGGAGGGAGGAGGAGCAGGAGGAGGATTGAGGATGAGGAGGAGGAGGGAGGAGGAGGAGGGGGATGTTTGGTTCTGGGGGTGCGATGCTGAGGCCGCCCCGGGCTGCCTGGGTGGCTTGCTGAGAGCAGCCGCAGCCACAGCCAAGACGATGAGATACGGACCACTCTGGGCTCAGCATGCGCTCGGGTGTTCGGGCCACTCCTTAGACCTAGGCCGGGGAATAGATTCGTGGCCGAGGGCTCGCCGTGACTAGAAAATCGACTAGACGTAAGAGTGACCTTTGGCCGGAGTGACTTTTGGTGCGGGCACAGACGGGCCTCCATGTGGCTGAAAACGAAGCAGGAGCAGCGGCTTGCGCGCCCAGTTTTGGTCCCCCCGCGGCCCCCCAAAAGCCGCGCACTAAAGGTCACTCTTACCCAGGGAATAGATTCGTGGCCGAGGTCGGGGCCTAAGAGACGGGGTTCAGGGCAAACGGAGGTCAGCCAGGGCACCGGATCCTGCAGGATCCTGCGAAGACCCCCTCAGGCTGACCCGGGTCAGCGAGCCGCTCGTGGCCGCGAGGCGGCCGCGCATATTGGCTGACCCGGGTCTGCGAAGACCTGCGTTGCAGTTTTTGTTTCTTGCATTGCAGTTTTTTGGTTTCCTGCTGACCCGGGTCTGGATTGACCCGGGTCAGAAGATCCCCGACGAGGGCGCGCCGTGGCTAGAAAAGCCCCTTCGCGCCCTTCTTACTCCTCTGTCGCATACGGCACGCTTGCTCATCCTTCAGGCCACGGTTCGGTGCATTATCCGTAAGGGCTTCGCCCCCTGCCGCCGGCCCCCTCTCTCGGAGAATGGGCCATGGAAGAGCTAAGTCATGAGGCCTTGGCGCTGTCGTGAAGCAGTATCGAAACTTCATGCGAAGCCGAGTCGCAATCAGCAAAACCAACTGATCACAAGAAGGGTTACCACACCTGGCGATTGGTAAGACGTGTATGGTTTAAGGGCTTGGTTGCCACACCTTGCGATTAAAGGGCCGAGGGAGTTCTCGCAGTTTGGGTTACCACGCCTTGCGATGGATGTGCGTGATGGGTTCGAATTTCAGAAATGTGGCAAATCCCATGTGTTTTTGGACCCTGACCCCGCGGATCTGCGTGAGGGGTGGCACCGAATTTCAGAAATGTGGTAAATCCCTTGTGTTTTTGAACCCTGACCCCGCTGATCTGCGTGAGGGGTGGCACCGAATTTCAGAAATGTGGCAAATCCCCTGTGTTTTTGGACCCTGACCCCGCGGATCTGCGTGAGGGGTGGCACCGAATTTCAGAAATGTGGCAAATCCCCTGTGTTTTTGAACCCTGACCCCGCGGATCTGCGTGAGGGGTGGCACCGAATTTCAGAAATGTGGCAAATCCCCTGTGTTTTTGGACCCTGACCCCGCGGATCTGCGTGAGAGGTGGCACCGAATTTCAGAAATGTGGCAGATCCCCTGTGTTTTTGAACCCTGACCCCGCGGATCTGCGTGAGGGGTGGCACCGAATTTCAGAAATGTGGCAAATCCCCTGCGTTTTTGGACCCTGACCCCGCGGATCTGCGTGAGGGGTGGCACCGAATTTCAGAAATGTGGCAAATCCACTGTGTTTTTGGACCCTGACCCCGCGGATCTGCGTGAGGGGTGGCACCGAATTTCAGAAATGTGGCAAATCCCCCTGTGTTTTTGGACCCTGACCCCGCGGATCTGCGTGAGGGGTGTCGATTTCGAGCCCCCCCAGCAATTCAGACAACGCGCCCAGGGGGTGCTAAAAGTCTTGTTTGGGCCTCCCCCCCCTCGCGCGGTCAATCAACTAGTTACAGTAACCAGCAAGAAGTCAACTAGTTACAGTAACCAGCAAGAAGCAGAACTGTAACACTGGAAACTGCAAGCTACAACTGGTACAGGAAACTGCGAATCACGCGCCTCGCAGCCTGGTGGCTCCACAAGGGGGCCGGCGGACTTCGACTATCGCATGTCGGCTCGTGGCATGGTCTCGGTTTGCCTGGCGACATTTGATTCGCGAAGCGGGCGAGGCCGAGTCGGGTGAAGCTCTGTGGGCGTGCTCCTTCCCTTCTCCTCCCCCACAAAAGAAGAGCCTCTTCACTTCTTCTTCGTCTTCTTCTTCAGCGTTCTCAGAGAGTAGCGCGATGTCTGTGCCTCTGGAGGTCCCCCCGTGTGGAGCACAGGGAGGGCTCTTCCGCTCAACCACGCGGCGCCCCCGCTCCGGTGTTGTGCGGTCCGCCCGCGAGGCGGCGGCGCCGAGGACCTTGACGACGTGGACCCGGTCCTCGGCATGCGCATGCCGAGCACCACGTTCGGGGAGCAGATCAGCGAGGTCCGGGCAGTTCCCAGGGGGGTCAGTTACCACTGGGGGGGTCATTGCCTCCTCCTCACTCTCTTCCTCACTCTCTTCCTGTTCCTCCTGCTCTCCTCCTCCCCCTCCTTCTCCTCCTCGTCCTCCTCCTCCTCCTTCTCCTTTCACTCCCCCTCCTCCTCCTCCTCCTCCTCCTCCTCCTCCTCCCTCCTCCTCCTCCTGCTTCTCCTCCTTCCTCCCCTCCTTCTCCTCCTCTCCTCCTCCTCCTTCTCCTTTCACTCCCCCTCCTCTCCACCTCCTACTCCTCATTTTCCTCCTCCCCCTCCCCCTCCCATCCTCCTCCTCCTTCCGCCTCCTCCTCCTCCTCCTCCTCCTCCTCCTCCTCCTCCTCCTCCTCCTCCTCCCCCTTCTCCTCCTCCTCCTTCTTCTTTTGGAAAGCGAGGATCGAGCAGGACGGAGTGTCGAGGATCGAGAAGGTTTTGGACGTCTTTGGGCGTCTTTGGGCGTGGCGACCCCCTCAGTGGTGACCCCCCTGGCATTGCCCGGGAGGTCCAGCAGCTGATCCGGGAGCGCGGGGCGCGCGAGAAGGTGGCGAGCGCGGACGCCGACGTGATGCCGCGGAAGAGCACCAGGAGGGAGCGGTCACGCCTTGAGGAGGAGGCCACCCCCGCTGGCTTCCCCGAGAAGGATCAGGCTCCCTCCCTCCTGCCTCCCCCCTCATCGTCCCCATCTCTTCCTCCTCCCCCTTCCCCTCCCCCTCCTCCTCCTGCTCCTCCTCCGCCTCCTCCTCTCCTCCTCGTCATCTTCAATCATCCTCCCTCCTCCTTCTCTTCCATCGGCCTCCTCCTCCTCCATCACTGTTCCGCCCTTATCCCCTCTATCCTCCTTCTTACTCCATCGAGCCCATCGTTTCTTCATCTTTTACTTACCCTGGCCACTAATTCATTCACTCGCTTGCTCACTTAACTCAACGAACTGTCCACAAACGATGGACGAGGAGGAGGAGGAGGAGGAGGTCAGGTCAAATCAGGTCAGGTCAGGTCTGGTCTGGTCAGGAAGTCCTCGAAAGCCCTTCAAGAGAAGGCTACCGGGGGGGTGAAGCACAGAAGCCCCAGCCCAGAGCCCCCAGGGTGGGGCAGCAAGACAAAGCCAGAAGTTGGCCCATGCGTCCAGAAAAGGCTCGACGCCTTGGGATAAAAGGTCATTGGCCAAACTTGGCCAAGCAAGGTGGCAGGAGCCAGACCGAAGCAGTACATAGCAGAGGGAAACCTCATCCTCCACCTCACTGCCTCCTCCTCGGCCTTGCTGCCGTAGTGGGACTGACAGCAGGCGATGCCGACGCACCTGCTGCGCGTCTGCGGGGGGCGCGGCGAAGGGCCGCCGCCACCGTCGCCGCCGTCGCCGCTGGGGGGGGGGGGCAGGGACTTCTGCTGCTACTACGCAGGATAAATGAGAACATCCCCGACCCTGTCCCCATTACGAGTTGGCGACGGCGAGCGAAAACCAAATTGATGCAGGTCAGCCTGAACCGGCGCTGTCTCTCGGCCTCCTGGGCTTGAATAGCCTCATCCTGCGAATCCAGACGCGCCTGCGATCGCTGCAACGCAGCCCGCTGGCGCTCCTTCTGCTGCTCCCATGGTCGACAGAGGTGGATCGCAGTGAGGACGATCGCGTACCAGTCTCGCTCCTCCCCAGAGTCCCATGCGGCTTCATTCATCCGAACGGACGCCGCCAAAACCTTCATCTCTGCACGTCTTCGAGTGATCTACTGCTTTCGCTCGGCCTCTGAGGCTTGTTCGTCGGGGAACTGCGGAAAGCGATGGTGATATACTGCAGGAGCTGGAGGTGCTGGCAGTATGTTCAGAGGGGAAGTGCCGTTGCCTCCCTCCTCCTCCTCTCCTCCTCCTACTCCTACTCCTACTCCTACTCCTACTCCTACTCCTACTCCTATCCTTATTCCTTATTAGAATATACTCCTACTCCCCCCTCAGGCCGGCAGATAGGGGCCGCATCCGGGTGGTCCCATCCTAACCTGTAAAAAACAATACAAAATCAACATTTTTCTTATTTTTTCCTCTCGACATGGACGTCCTGTCGTCCACGGCGATAATCCATTGCAAAAAATACCACAAAGAGCACACGCGCGCGTTCATGTCAGAATCCTACCGAACACCGTGTGTTTGCAAGCATTTCAACATAAAAACATCAAAAACCCAATGCTTTTTCACAAAAATTGTACAAATTTCCCGCCCGGGCTCTCTTGCTGAAATCATAGGAAAACCATAGGAATCTTAAGAATTCTGTCAAATCCAGCGATTTCACGTCATCGCGCGGTGCACTCGCGATGCTCTGTCATGCACCCAGGCCGCGAATCCTGTGCAAAAAATACCACGCGGGCGACATGCGCGCGCGTCGCCGCGAGCGCATGCTCAAATCCTTCTAGAGTCGTCGCCGTCATTGGCACCGTCGCATGGACGTCCTGTCGTCCACGTCGCAAAATGCATGGCAGGAATGGGACGCGGCGCACACCCCGCGCCCGCCCATCCAATCCGTCCCATTCTAATCTGCAAAAGACAATACACAGTTTTTGTTTTTCTTGTCAACATGGTCGTGCTGTCGTCACGTCGCAAAATGCGTGGCAGGAATGGGACGCGGCGCACACCCCGCGCGAAGGGGTGACATGGTACTACTACTACTACTACCACTACCACTACCAACACCACTACCACTGGTACTACTATTCCTGCCTCTTTGGGCCTCCTGGGCCCCCTTGGGGTGTCCTGTCAGACCGTCGGGCTTCCTCCGGCCACCTCTGGCTTCCTGCGGTGTACCGGGCCATTCTCGACTCGTCTGGCAATGCGTGCGCGGCATTCAACACGCGCTCGCCAGTTCCCGTCGGCAACCGCCATCGCGGCCGCATCAGCTGTACCAAACCGGCTGGCCGGTGTGACTTCGGCCCCCAGTTGTGCCAGCTTTGCTTCTTATGTTGTGGGAGGGCGGGTGGGACTGGGCATGCCATGCTTGACTCGCTCGAGCTGGCTAGCTTGACTCCTACTCCTACTCCTCCTCCTCCTCCTCCTCGTCCTCCTCCTCCTCCTCCTCGTCTGCGAAATGCGCGGATGAGGATCTCTGGCGCGCCCGCTCGGGCTGACCACGTCGCCCCCCGGGCATACGCCGAGGAGGCGTCCGCTGGGCCGACTGTTGGCCATCTGCCTGCGGCTGTCGAACCCACGGCTCTCGAGCCATTCCGTACGCCATCGGCACCTGTTGGCCGCTGAACTGCACACCTTCTTGAGGCCCCTGACGCCGAGGACCGGCTTGACGTGGAGGGGCATGTCCTCGACCGCTGGGCATGGCATTGCTCCGATCTGGCACACCCAGTGCAGAACTGACCACCCAAAGAATTGACGGTGCCACATCTTTCACACATCCAGGAGCGTGTGTCTTTATTGCTTGGGGCATAATGGGCGTTATAGCCCCCGCCCCCCCTCCCCCCTATAACGTAACGCCCCTCCCCCCACAGTGCGTTCCGGGCACTGCCGTCGTGCGCACGGCGGGGTGAAGGCGTTCCATTATACCCCCCTGGCCCCTCCCCCTATAATGCCACTATCGCCGAAAATAAAGAAACGCGCTCCAACCAAAAGAACTGACGGCGCCACATATTTCACACATCCAGTTATCCTGCATCGGATGTTGGGCAGAATGGTGACTAAGCAATCGGGTCTGAGCAGCAGCGACTCCCAACAACAAACGATCGTCGGTCCTCCGCTGTCGGGCTCGCCTGTGCCAGGCACCCTCGGGCTCGTCCCTTGGAATCGCGGCTGGTCGCTGCCCTAGCGGCTGGCACGCTAGGCTTGGATGGACCTGGCTGGAAGATCTCAGAACTGCCGAAATCCAAGAAGCACTGCCAGGAAATGCCTCCGACGGCTCGGGCCCTAATTAGGAGGAGGAGGAGGAGGAGGGGGAGGAGGAGGAGGAGGAGGAGGAGGAGGAGACGGAGAGAGATAGGGGGAGGAAGTGGAGAGAGAGGGGTGATAACTTAGAGAGAGAGAGAGAGAGAGAGAGAGAGAGAGAGAGAGAAAGAGAGAGGGAGGGGGTTGCCCACTCAGCTGGATGCAGCCGATCACCACCGCACCAGTGACTGCGCGGGCACACCCCGCCTAGCCAGCGGCCTGGGCCGTGAAAGTGGCCGCACCGAGCTGGTGCAGGTGCGACGCTTCAGCGGGAGGGTGAAAGTGGCCGCACCGAGCTGGAGGCAGGTGTGACGCTCCGGCGCGAGGGGGAACGTTGTCGCACCGAGCCCGAATTGGGGACAGCTGTGACGCTGCAGCGGGCGCCGAAAGTTGCCGCGCTGAGCCGGGGGCAAGCGTGGCGCCTCGGTGGGCGCCGAAGCCTGCCGCACGGAGGCCGAGCTGGGGGCAGCTGCGACGCGTGAGCGGGCAGATCATCGCCCGCCCCCTCGACCTGTCCCCCCCCCCCCTGGACCAAGCGCGAGGCCCTTGGGCTGGGCGTTGCAGGCGCCGCTGGCGCAGCGGCGGGCGCAGCTCCAGCCCGCCCGGACATTTTAAGGGCTTGGCCGCCCTGCCTTGCGGCAGGCTTTGGCCGGGCTTCGGCTTAAGTCGGGCCTGTCCCTCTACAGGAGGGAAAACCAGAAATAGGTAAAGATAGTCTGGGGTTTTTTTTTTTTTTTTTTTTTTTTTTTTTTTTTTTTTATTATTTTTGATCATTTGGCTATTTTTGATTTTTCGTCCAAACTCCCCCTGTGGACACGCCCGACCGAACGCCAGGTCTCGGAGATCGGCTCAAAGGTTCCTGGCGAGCGAGGCCGCCTGCAACGAGGACTAGGCTGTCGCCAGCCTTGAGAGCAAAAGAGGGCAGCGTGCTTCACTCTACCACCCGGGTAGCGCGGCCGTGCTCATGTCAGGACCCCCCACCCCGGATCCAAGAGAGGCCTTTGGAGGCACCCGCGGGCCCATGCCACTGGAAGCCGCAGCGCCTGCCCGTCGCCCCAGCAGCACCTGCCGAGGCCGTGCAGACCCACTGCCTCAAAAAAGGTTTTCTTCTCCGGCCAGGGCGGGCGGGAGTTCGCCGGCAGGATGGAAGCACGCGGAGGCAAGCACCGCCCGCCCTGCCCCCGCCCATCTCTCGGCGTGCTGAGTATTTTCCTCTTTAATCTTTTTCTCCTTCGATCTTGATCGGCGTGAGGATGAGAGGCGGCTCAAAAAGAGGGCGCGGCCGCCTGGTGGCCGCGGCGGTTGCGGGAAGCCGCCGCGGCCCGGCCCTGCTCTTCGCGCGGCCGCCCAAGGAAGAGCAGCGCACAGCCAAGGTCGTCGCCAGCAGCCTCGTCGGGGGGCCAGCTGAGAAGAGGTCCATCTCCAGTCTGGCCGCCGCCGTCATGAGCTGCAACGGCTGCGACGCCACAGGCAACTTCCAGAGCTGCGGCAGAAGGGTGTGGCAAGAAAGGGCTAATTTTAAAGGCATCCCGCGGTCCCAAGAGCAAGACAGATGGCCCTAAGCAAGAGCTGCAAGTTGGCAAGCTTTGCCCTTCCGTTGGGCCCAGGTTGGGGTCATCTCCTCTCCTCAACTGCCGCCAGTTAGATTCCACAGGTGGGAGACACCAACACAGTCGGACCGAGGTATAAGATCGAGGTCGGTTCGGGGAGGGTGCCCTGGTGTTCTTCCTGTTTGTTGGATTTTCTTGTGCATCCTGGGGGAGGGTACCTTCGAATGCTCTTCACTTTGGCCAGCGGAGGGTCTCATGTTCTTAGAAGGATGTTTCTCCTGCTCTGGGTACGACTGTAACGTTTCTCAGGGTCCACAGTTACAGCAACATTCAGTACCGCTCATCTGTTGTCCGCCCACCGCTTGGTGCTCCTCCTCGACTTGCTGCGCTGCTGCTGCTGCTCCCCCTCCTCCCCCTTTTCTGCGACTCCCAATGCATCCTCCCTTTCTCATCGATCATCCTGTTCATCATCTTCATCCATCCTCATCCTCCAGGTCATCATCACCATCATCACCAACATCACCATCACAATCACCATTCACCGTAATCATCACCTTCGTCATCACCATTGCCATTGCCACCCTCATCATGACCATCACCCGTATCATCAGCAGCATCATCACCATCATCATCACCATCATCATCAGCAGCATCATCATCGCCATCATCCTCATCATCATCATCCTCATTATCAACATCTTTGTCAATACCATCACCACCATCATCATGACTATCATCATTACCATCTTCGCCACCATCATCACCATCATCATCACCATCATTATCATTACCATCATCCGCGGCTTCATCATCAGCGGCATCATCATCACCACCATCATCAACATCATACTTATCATCAGCAGCATCATCACCATCGTCAGCATTATCATCAGCATCAGCATCAGCATCATCATCAACGTCATCATCATCCTCCGCATCATCATACTGACCATGATCATCATCATCATCATCATCATCATCCGTATCAGTATCATCATCATCACCATCAGCATCACCATCATCAGCATCCACCTCTCTTTGTCCTACATCCTCTTCTTCCGCCATCCTCTTCCTCCTCCCTCTCCATCATATTCCTCCTCATCTTTTTTGCCTTCATTCTTCACGCGTTACCCTCTTCGTCGCCGTCTTTATCATAGTTACTCGTATGCACCACCCGTTTACGCCTCCTCATCGTCCTCCCCTTGAGCCGTTCCTTTTTTCTCTTCCTTTCAGTGCCTCTCCTCCTTGCCCATGGGGGAAGGGGAAGGGGCGGGTGATGATGGATGGTGAGGACGCGGAGGCGCATGCGAATGGAGGACGAGGAGAAGCGGAGGATACAGGAAGGCGATGAGCAAGAGGGGGGGGCATGAGTGCTCCCCCTCCAGCCGCTGACTCCATCCTCCTCCATCCGCCTCCTCCATCTGCCTCCTCTTGCCTCCACCTCCCCCTTCCCCTCCATCCTCCATCCGCCCCCATTCCCCCTTTCCCTCCCTCCTCCATCCTTCTGCTCTTTCTCCTGCTCCTGCTCCTCCTCCTCCTCATCCCCCTCCTCCCGCCTTCTCCTCCTCCTCCCGCTTCCTTCTCCTCCCCCTCCTCCTCCTCCCTCCCCCTCCCCCTCCCCCGCCCTCCTCCGTCCGCCTCCTCCCTCTCCTCTGCCCCCCCCCCTCAGGCCTTCGGTGCCGGCCTCCAGGACGACGGCGCGGAGGACGAGCTGGTGAGGCGCGCGCGCGGCTCCGCGCGGGCCAAGAAGGAGAAGCGCCTGGCCAGCCAGCTCGCGGAGGAGAAGGAGCGCATCGCACGCCAGGACCGATTTCGGAGGGGATCGGGGGGGAGGAGGAGGAGGAGGAGGAGGCGGAGGAGGAGGCGGAGGAGGAGGGCGGCGGAGGAGGAGGAGGGCGGACGAGAAGGAGAAGAAGGACGACGACGAGAGGAGGAGGAGGAGGAGGAGGAGGAGGAGGAGGAGGAGGAGGAGGAGGAGAGGAGGAGGAGGAAGAGGAGGCGGCGGAGGAGAGGCAGGCAAGCTTGCCTGGTCGAGCGAGTCAGAGGGCCCCGCCTGCTCCCACCCCCCCTCCCGCGCCGTCGTGCTCAGGCGTGGCGCTGCTCTTGGTGTCAAAGGGTTGGCGCGCGCTCCCACCGCGCCTCCGGAGGGCGCTCGCGTGCGGCCCCTCCTCCGGCGACCCGGCGGAAGGGGAAAGCCTGCGCGGGCCGCGCAGGGGGCGGGAGAGCGGCAGCGCTGCCGACGGTCACCACCCACCAAACCACCCCAACCCAACCCGAAGGCCCAAATTTATCCTCGATTTCCAGGGGGGGGGGGGTCGGGGAGCGTTGAAAAAACACATGGTATCCGTACCCCCCCCAACCCGAAATTCGGGTCAAATTCGGGTCTTCGGGTTGGGTTGGGGTGGTCTGGTAGGTAGCCAGATGGGCGCGGCGAGCACGCGGCGCGCGCCGCGCTGACACCGCGCTGCCCGGGCGGATGCGTTGCGGCTTCTCGCGCCGCCCCTTCCTGTTTCTCCTCCTCCTCCTCCTCCTTTCCTTTTTCTCCTGCTCCTCCTCCTCCTCCTTCCTCCTCCTCCTCCTCCTCCTCTTCCTCCTCCTCCTCCTCTGCTCGTTCCCCCTTGCTTGGCGTGCTGGGAATTCGGGCACATCTCTATCATCTGCCACATACTGTGCTGCGCCCATTTCCAATGTTGTGTGTTGCCAGATTTTTGGAGTGGTCGGCCAGGTCAGATGGGGATGCGCACACAACGATTTAAGACTTGCGCGGTGGATTCGAGTTGTCATCGGTTGTCATCGGCAGTGTCGCCGGTCAAAAAAATTGAACAAGCTGCGCGACGCCGGGGCGAGGTCGGCCTTCTTGCCCGCTCTCGCGCGGCCCCGCTGTCGCCGTCGCCTTGTCGCGCGATTCGGCAAACCAGCCGCGCGCCGCGGCCGCGCGGGACACCACTTCCGAGCGAAGTACGCACGGATCTTGGGCGAGAGTGGGCGGGAGGGACAAGTCGCCCACTCGCGCGGCCCCCCCACACCGGTGAGTGCAAGATATGCACCGCGTCGTGGTGGGAACGCTTTGTTCCAGCGAAGTCTGCGTGGCGCCGAGGATACAGCAACATCTTGGCCCGCTCGCGTGTCGACGAGGCTGCGTGCGAGACACGCGCGCCGCACACAAGCGGGAGCTCAATTCTCTAGAAAATGGGCGCGGCACCCAGGCGAGAGCGACATTTCGGCCTGTCGCGGGGGATGTGCGACCCGTTCCATTCCTGCCAGGCATTTTGCAACATGGACGACATAATGTCCATGCTAAGACGTACATCGTTGACTCTGTATTTTTTTTGGCTCACACGCAGGATGGAGGGTCCTGGGTTGGGCCCATATCAGCCAGTTGGGGTAGAGAGTAGTGTTCTGTATCCAGTAGGACTATGAATCAGGAGGAGGGTGAGGATGGGCTACAAGGGGATGGGGAGGAGGGGTAGGAGTGGTGAACGAGCAGCAGGGGAAGGAAAAGGAGGGGGAGAAGGAGGAGGAGGAGGAGGAGGAGGAGGAGGGGGAGGAGGAGGAGGAAAAGTAATTGGGGAAGAAGGATAATGGAGGAACACGGTGGAGGAATAGGATGGAGGAGGAGAACGATGGAGGAGGAGGATGGATTAGAATGGAGGAGGATGATAATGAGGAGGAGGAGGAGGAGAAGGAGGAGGAGGAGAAGGAGGAGGATAGGGAGGCAACCTTCCGACTCTGCCTTTTTGAGATAGAGAGGAGTGTCGCTGGACAAGAGCAGGACCCCCCCTTCCCGACCGCCCTTGGGTGCGAAAGGAAGAACGCTGGGGAGGGAACTTGGAGTAGCTATGCCTGCGCCACCAGACGTAGACGCTGCTGTGCCGCCTGTTACTTGATACCTACTGGCTAGAAAACGGAAGCCCCGGGCATGGGCCCAGCACTGTGAGCTGGGTTCTTGGGCGCAAGCGATGCTCTTGCATGAGAGCATGCCAGGCTGAACAGACTTGTTTGAACTTAGCCACTCCATGAACTCCTGGGAAGTTGCCCAAACATTACCGTTGAAAGTGACGAGCGTGACGTCTGAAGCGTGCTTTCTCGCTTGGGAGGGCTCAGCGCCGGCGGCCCATCTCAGCGACTTTGCGGCGTCCTGAAACGAGCAAGACTGCGGCTGCGACCGAGGGGAAGCGGTCGAGGCATCCAGCGCCCCTGAAGAACGGGAGTGCCGTGGGGCAGGTCTCCTCGCTTGCCTCGTCAAGCCAGTGGGGCTCAAGACCTGGCTCAGCAACGTCGGGCCAGTCCAGCCCGCCGAACGAAGCCTGAGGAGGTTTGGGCGGGCACTCTTTCCGGGTGGTCGGCTTGCCGCTGCGCTGACCTCTGAGGTAAACCCTGGACGAGCACAGTGCAATCTGTATTTGGCTTGGATCGCGAGGGCTTCGCGCGCGAGTCTTCGGTGAAGGATGACGCTCGACGGCTCTCTCGTCGCCCCCTCGCTTCGCGCTGGTGGCAGGCGCGAGGGGCCGTCAACAGTGCGGTGGCGCAGTCGGGGGGCGGCTCGGAGCCTTCCGCGGCCGAGGCGCGGGCCTTCGCTCGCACGGCCCTCCCAGCGGCCTCCGCCTCCGCCTAGCCCGCCACGTCCTGGCGCGGCGTGCCCGCGCCGGTGCCCTCGAGCTTCCACTCGTGCTGCGCAGGGCGCCGGGACCGAGGCCGCAGGCCGCCGTCGCCGAGTCTGGTCGTCTGGTCAGGAGGTGCTTCGCTTAGAGTCTCCAGCGCGTTCGACTTTATGGGAAGGGCCAGCAAGGGCACCATCTTCTCGGCATCTGCCACCCCCTCCATGGAGCCCAGACAGAGTGCCGATTTCTGCGCATCAGCCTCGATGTCGTGGCCCGTGAGGTCGACCTGCGTCACTTGCCTGGCTGGTTCTGGTTGGGGCGACAGGCTTCGAAACTCTTTCTGAAGCTCCTCCACTGCACACTTGCGCTCCTGAACAGCTGCGTTGGCCACCGCCAGGGCCGCCTTTGCCGTTTCGAGCTTCTCGGTAGCTGCTGGTTGGTCTGACTCCATCGTCTGGAGACGGCCGCGTGCTTGGTCAGCCCTCCTCGATGAGTCCGTGGGCTTCGCTGGGAGAGGCTTGCTTGTTCTCGTGCAACTTCTTGCGACACGCTGCGCGTACCAGGTTCAGCGGCTTCTTGACCCACTCAAGCTCGATGGCTTCCAACCACTGCGCATTCTTGACCAGCCCGTCGATCTCCTCGCGCAGCTTTTCTGAAGCTCATCTGATTCATTAGCCTTTGGCTGTGCACCCCCGTCTCGTAGAGGCGCGCGAAGACGAGAGTTCTCGGCCCCGAGCTCCTGCAGACGCTTCTCCAACTTGGACACTGCCGAGGTGGGTCGATCTGGTCGCCAAGCCTTCTCTTGCCACTTTGCAGGTCAGGGGGCACAACGCATTGGTAGCATCTATCCTTCGGCCCATAGTTAATGAAAGGAACTTCAGTGCGGCGGAAGGTAGAACACTTACGCATCTAATCTTCCTTGGCATCCCTGTTCCACGGAGCTGGGGCCACTGAGACGTGCTTGCAACAACGGAAGGGAGGCCAGAAACCCGTGTAGCGTTGCCTGAAGGATGTTGAGCGTGAGCACTTTGGCACTGCCGCGGACTAGCACCACCCACTTTGCTCACAGCAGAACATTTTTTCTTGAAACAAAACAGCTACGAATGAGAAGGAGGGGGGAGAAGAGGACGAGGGATGATGATGATGATGATGATGATGATGATGATGATGATGATGATGATGATGATGATGAGGAGGAGGAGGAGGAGGAGGAGGAGGAGGAGGAGAGGAGGAGGAGGAGAGAGGAGGAGGAGGAGGAGGAGGAGGATGGGGGCAAGGACTAGCAGGACAGGAGGAGGAGGAGGAGGAGGAGAGGAGGAGGGAGGAGGGGAGGAGGAGGGGGAGGAGAATGAGGAGGAGCAGCAGGAGGAGGAGGAATGGAGAGGGGGAGGAGGAGGAATAGAGGAGGAGGATAGGAGGAAGGAGGAGGAGGAAGGAGGAGGAGGAGGAGGAGGAGGAAGAGAAGGAGGAGGAGGAGGAGGAGGAGGAGGAGGAGGAGGAGACCTGATGGGCCAGAAGCGGGGGAGGGATAGGGGAGCAGGAGGTACGCCCGCCCCGTTAGGACCACCCGGAGGAAGTCCTGGATGGGCGCCGCGGCACCAGCAAGCGGATCCTGCAGAACCGCGGCCTGATCCGGCAGCGCAAGAAGCAGGCACAGCGTGGGGAGGGAGGGGGGGCGTTCTCCTCGCAGCCACCGCCATCCTCCTCGTAGTCCTCGTCCTCGTCCTCGTCCTCGTCGTCCTCGTCCTCGTGCTCGACCTCGTCCTCGTCGTCGTCGTCGTCGTCCTCGTCCTCGTCCTCGTCCTCGTCCTCGTTGTCGTCGTCGTTCTCATTCTCCTCCTCGTCCTCGTCGCCGTCGTCGTCGTCGTCGTCCTCCTTCTCGTCCTTAAGCCTTTTTGTGTCGAGCCGCCCACCCTGGGCCAATGCGGGCACCACGCAGCAGATTGCGTGCACATTGGCACTACTGAACTGAGTGGGGGCCTGCGCTATCGCACTCCTTACTTGACCCAGCAGGGAAACCCATGCGTTGCACATTCTTCGGGTACACTGCTTGCAGCCTGGTGCAGCCTCGGAGGTTCATGGAGATCGCAGCATACGCTTGCAACTCACCGGTGCGGTTGCTCGTCGGCACGAGGTTGTGAGCGGCGCTCGGCGAGCGGCGCTCGGCGAGCAGGTTCGGCGGCAGACCCACGTGGAGTCGCATGACTACTATCGCTTCGGTCACAGTCGCGGCCCGTTCACGAGCCGCCAGGCTGGAGTCGGCATCGGCCTGAGGCGCAGGGACCTCGCCCCGAAAGTGCATCAGGTTGTGCCTGGGCCCCTCTCTGCTGCGGGCCGTGCGTGGCTTGTGCGCGTGGTCACGGGCCCGCTGGACATCAACGCCATTGCGGTCTCGAGGCGCACAGGCGTCGCGGCGGCGCACGGCGGACGTTCTGATCGAGTGGATTGGCCAGCAGTCGGATCGACCGCCTCAGCGCACCACCCCTGTCCTCTTCTGCGACCTGGACGATTCGTTCTCGCGCGACGGGGATGGCGACTCGTACCGCGCGCTTGAGTCGGCCCCCATGTTCGGCCCACCATGGGCTACGCTGCGAGGGCGCTGCGTGAGCTCCTGCACCGCCACTGCCTGAGCTGCGCCTCCACCCTCTTTCCCGTGCTTCCGACCTTCCATGGAGAAGAAGCTTCGTGGAGTGTCGTTTACCTCGTGCTGCCCACTGGCGCGCTCCGCCGACTCCCTGGGCTGCTCCCCATGACGAAGGCGGCGCGCGCCCTTCAGATGTTCCCTGCCAAGGGGGCCTTGCGTGACCGCTCGCCCGTGCTGATGGAGGCGGACCTCGGCGTCCCGTCCCTGCTGGCGCAGACGCAGACCACCATGTGGAGCTTCGACGCGATCGAGTTTGGCTTGCAGACGCCTGGACTGCGCGAGGCCTTCCTGGCGGAGGTCAGCGCTGCGTTGGGGAGGGCATTCCCTTCCTTCCTCGGGCACATGGAGCCCAACATAATCGATGTTGACTACGAGGAAATAATGTCGGTCTTCTCCCCAATCGTCAGGAAACACTTCGGTCGTGCTCGAAGGGCGCCTGGCGAGGAGCTCGCGCGGCATCGTCAGCAGGCAGCAGGTGCGCGTGAACCTCCGTGCCCGTGCCAGGCTGCGCGTGGTGAGACAGCCGCGCACGTTCTACGACCCCCAGCTCAGGAACCTCACCAATCCGATCCGCTGGGGGCTCGGAGGTGGACGAGATCGCTTCACCATTCTTGGGCTGAGGCGCTCCACGACGCCTGGAGGCAGCGCGACCTCGCCAGCGTTCAGTTTTGAAGCCGCCCCCTGGCGGACACTGGGGCTGGGCCCAAGAGACGATCCTATGATCCGGTCAGATTCTATGTGCCGTCGGCCGCTCAGCTCACCCACGCCCTCGGGCTCCCTGGTAAATAGGGTGGGCTCTCCAGGGTGGCACATTGAGCGCCCAGGGTGGGACATTGCTCTCTCTTCGAGCTTGCGGCAGGAGTTTCGGCCACGTTCGCAGGACAAACCTGCTACGTGTGCGTGGTGTTCAGTCGCGGGGTCCGCTCCGATCTTCTCCCTCCCAAAAAAAAATAGGGTGGGCTCTCCGCGGGTCCGATTGTTCTGGTTCGTTTTGTCGCCTCCAGGGCTGAGCTGGCCCCTGCGGGACTGAGCCGCCGGGGCTCGGCGGGGGGGATGGGCGGAAACGATCTCGTGCGCGCCGCTCGGGTTTCAAAGCGAGCCGCCCGCCGCCGCTCCGTCTCTGCCCGGTGCATGCCTGGCGAGATTTGGGTCCTGCTGCTGAAGTCCAGGCACGGTGGGGGCGCTCGTGAAGGAGTGCGTCCAGGAGGCTTCAGACCAGGGAGGGTTCCGTATCCGATGAGGGCGGCGGTGATGTCCATGGCCAGTCCACGGTTGGCTTTCCACTGGCTTCCAGACCCTGGATATTCGGCAACACCCCAACATACTTATACTATATGTGCGTCGCCCCCCCAGGGGCGACGCGCGCACCGAGAAATCTTATAGTATATGCGTCGTGGCGGGCGCTTTCTGGCCACACCGCTCGGGAAACGATATACTACAAGATGGGTATACTATATGTTCGGGTCGGACGCGCGCTTCCAAGGAGGACATATAGTATTAGTATGTCCATGTGCGTCCCATGGACTCCTTATCCAGTGGTTCCTTATCCAGTGCCTTCGCTGCCTTCTGGCAGGCCTCGCCCCGCCCCGTTCGGGGTCGGCGGAGCTCCCCCGAGCCTCCGAGCCTCTGCGCTGCCACCGAGCAAGGGCTTGCAGGAGTCTGGCCACGGCACGGAGGAGGAGGAGGAGGAGGAGGAGGGGGAGGAGGAGGGGGAGGAGGAGGAGCGGGAGGAGGAGGAGGAGGAGGAGGAGGAGGAGGAGGAGGAGAATGAGGAGGAGGAGGGGGAGGGTCTTGGGTCGCTTTCCTACGGCTGCGGGCTTCTCTGTGGGACGGTAGACCCCCCAAGCCCGATGGGGGAACGCGCTTCTTGCATGGCCCGTGCCTTTTTTCCGGGCGATCGCCCGCGGGACGGATCAAAGCGCGCCACGCGCGCGGCCAGCAGCATTTGATCATGGGTGTGTGCCGCGCTGTCTGCGCGATTCTCGGTGGGCGCGTGCTGTCTGCGCGTTTGCGCACCGCGCGCGCGGGGCGCGCGGCCGCTTTGGATGACGCGAAGGACGCTTCTGGCTGCTCTGAGCACGCTCGCATGGACAGGGGACTGAGTGAATCCTTGCCATGGGTGGACGCCGCGTTGCCGTCGGGCAGTCGAGCCGTGCATGTGTTGCACGCTGACGGAGTGGATGCAGCTACCGCCCTGCGCCGTTAGAGCTGAGTCCCGATGGGCGCGTCTGCCTTACAGAAGCATGTGTTCTGGCACTTTTCGCACGGCGATGGGCAGCGACAGTAGTGGGCCTTTAGAGGCAGCGATCAAAATCGAGTCCCATCAGGATGGGGACAAACTAGACACGGAGGACTTGCTGCCCTTTCGCATGATCACGCCAAGTCGGCCTTCTAGATGCATCCGTCGTTCGATCCGTCGTCGGCGTCGGCTCTTGGAGAATGAAGGGGGACACCGCTAGCATTCTGAAATTCACCCCGTGCCCACTGGAGGCGTGGCCTGGGCATCCGCGAAAAGCGAGATCGAGCAAACAATATGGGTTTACTATCAGCAAGTTTTCGCTAGTCCATGGCTGGCAGAGAGCGGAGCATGTTCCCTGGCACGGTGCTGCATGGTTTACAGTCAGCCTCTCTGACGAAGTGATCGCTCGTCGCAGTAATGAACGTTGCGCATTCTGTTCAGGCGAATTCCGCGCTCACCTAAGACGTTTGCACCCTTCGCACGCAGTATCTGCTGGCACATGTGCCGACGGTGTGCCGAATGTTTGCTCAAGACGCGGTTGTCACACCATTTTTGTTTTCGAAGGATTTCTGGAGACGTGTAAAGGCCGCCAAAGTGTGGCACAAGGTATACGGCCCGAAAGAGGTTGTTTTGTGGTTCGCACCCTGTTGATGGCAAGCCGTTTGAGGATAGCGACCAACTTCTGGCGCTCTAGAGGCATCCGATGTCATTCAGGGCTTCCAGCCACGGCTCCAGGGCTGCTGTCCATGGGGCCGCTTCTTCTCCTTCAGTCGTGGATCCTGGCAGTGGCCACCTTCGGGAAGTGGTGGGGGCACTCACACATGAGGGTGACTCAGCCTCGCTCGTGCGCCCACCTGCGCCAAGCTGCGGGGGCGACTCGGGCGATTCTGACTGAGCATCCCGCGGGCGGGAGCTGGCCCGTCAACGAATGGGCCAGCTAGCCTTGCCGTGCGGGTTGCGGCATGCACATCCAGAGGGTGCATGCCATTGGGGCCGTCGGCCCAGCGCGGCGCCCCTTCTGCTCTTGAGTGACAAAAACATCCTCCTCCCGCCTCCTTCCCCCTGCCTCCACCATCCTCTCGCCTCCTCCCCCTCCTCCTCCCCCCCTTCCCCCCCTCATCCTCCACCTCCCCCTCTCCCTCCTCCCTCCTCCCTCCTCCTCCTCCCTCCTCCTCCTCCTCCTCCTCCTCCTCCTCGTCCTCCTCCTCCTCGTCCTCCTCCTCGTCCTCCTCATCCTCCTTCCCTTTCCTCTTCGGACACTCCGCGGGATGGCCGATTGGAGAAGCCAGCGCAACCCCCGCCAGCCCCCCGCGGGCCACCGCAGGCCGCCGCACCGCCGCTTCTGGGAACCCGCGAGGCCCCGGAGGGCGCGCCCAGTATTTGCGCAACCCGCCCCGCGGATCGATGTAATCTGTTCCCAGAGCGTAGCGTATACTACAGAAAAGAAGGCATGCTAGACGCTAAGCCCCGTGGGGGGTCGAAGCGCATGCCATGTGAAAACACAGGCCGTCAGGTTGGTATACGCCGCGCCTCTCCCTCCCCTTGGCAGGATTTCCAGATCCCTGCGCCGCCCCCGCGGGGTTGCAGCACTGCGGGGCGGGCCACGCTGTCGTCCCGAGGGTTCCTGCGGGGGCGCCCAGCATGCCGCCGCGTCGCCAGGACTGTTGGCGTTGAAGTGGCCGTGCGCTGCAGCGCCTTCCTGCCCGCGCCCGCGCCGCCCGCGGCGACCCCGACGACGAGGGTGCCCGCCCGGGCCGCCCGCCACATCGAGCCTCTCCGCGCGGCGACGTCATATTTCAGGAGGAGCCGCGGCCTCCCGTGCCATGTGCCGGGCTCGCCGTCGTGACCAGGGCCGCCTCGGGATGCAAGGGGGAAGCACCTTTCTCGAATGCCCCATGGACGCAACGACCGCCCGGACAAAGAGGGTTCCTAGTGGCCATGCCAAGTGCTCGGCCATTCTGGGCAGGTTAACGTCGGAGGATACCTGCCGCCGCTCAGAAGCTGTGCCGCTGTCATGCGCTCCTGGGTCAGACCTGACAGGACGCACGTCCCAGCCCACCTTCGCCTTCGGCCTCGCGTCGCTAGGGGCGGCCCGGTAAAAGACAAGCTATGGGATTCCCGCGGAGGGCGCCGCGAGCACGACGCAAAGAAACTCCGCGGGGTGCAGCGGCGCCGCTCTGACATATGCCATCGGCTTATATGTTGCGGACATCGCTGCGCTGAGAGCACGACGACGAGTGGAGGCAGCGCGCCGCCGAGCAGCGCGTTTTGGGTGCTGCGCGAGGCAAGCGGTGTATACCCTGCGAACGGGGACATCGCGCGGCCACTGCGCGAAATCGACGGCACCGCTGCTGCGAGCGGTGCTTGCGCGATGTTCGGCGCCTGCGTTGCGCGGCGGCTGCCCACCGCCACCGCGCGGTTTTCGTGATAACGAGCCGAGACTGGACGGGGCAAGTGTTAAACATTCCAACATCGCGGGGTCGTAGGTGGGGTGGTGTTGGCTCTTTTCTGGCCCATGGGACCCAGCTTCCAGGTCCGTCAGGGCCCTCTGGGCCTTCATTCACCCGTGACAGTATACATGTCGTCCGACGGGCCCACTGTCGATAATAGTGCACGTTGAACGCTCCAATTCGCAATTATATGAACGCCGGTCAATTCTACATCCCAAGCGCTTCGCGTGACAGCACAAGCCGCGGTTCCTGTGGTTTCGCTTTGCTGCTGCTGCCCGCCACGCATTGTGCGAAGTGGGAGAGATGCGAGACCACAGTCGTGATTTATCGTATATTCAGTTAGATCATATTACATTATATTACCGTGTATTGTACGAGCCTACCTTATATGGTCTTATTTTCTCAAGTGCTACCTTGTACTAACATCAACTACATGGTTCCAGTTCGCCCTGTTCCACACTTACGGTACATAGTAGCGCATGCGTGCTATTTTTTTGTCCTATCATTGTCTTAATGCCCGTATATTCTATCACTGTAAGTTTTCATGTCTGAGTTCATGACATCGTATGGCATTACGTATTGCACGATGTCACCATACATAATATGACGCGACCCAATCATATCATACATGCGTTTTTTTGTGGTGTCTTGGCACATACGATCGCCTCTCATATTTGCGTATAGTATATACAGTTATATCAAGACCTGATATTGCAGCTATTAAATGTACAACGTGTTCAGTCATGTGTATGTTCTATATAGAACCCCCTCTCAACGATATTACAATACATTATCATAACGTGTCTTATCTAATCGTGAGCCACATTAAACTTGTATATACGGCCAGTATTTTTTCAATGTGCATTACAGTACGTATATAACTTTATGATTTCAAATATGATCGTACAATGTGTTATGGCATGCAGTCTTATCTTGCACGGCCATATATAATGTTACATGGTTCGACAATGTGTTGCGCTGCTTGATCTAATCTGGATTTCTATCACATCATCATCTCCCTCCTCCTCCTCCTCCTCCTTTTCCTCCTCTTCCTCCTCCTCCTCCTCCTCCTTCTCTTCCTCGTCCTCGTCTTCGTCGCCGCAGGCGGGCAACGCGCGGGTGGCCAACCGCACGAAGTACGAAAAGGCCGTGAAGCGGCGCAAGGGCGCCGTGCAGGAGATGCGGGAGGGGGCGGCCGACGGCGCCACGTACGCCGGCGAGGAGACGGGCATCCGGACCCACCTCAAGAAGTCGCAGCGGCTCGCGTAGGCGGAGGAGGAGGAGGGGGGAGGCGGCGAGGAGGCAGGGGAAAGAGGGAAAGGCAAGGGGGAAGAGGAAGGGAGGGGGGGGGGGGGGAAGGTGGAGGGAGGGGAGGGAGGGGGGAGGGATTGGGAGGTAGGGAGGGACCAGCGCGACTTGGACCGTGGAAGGGAAGGGGGGGGCTGGGAGGAAGGAGGGAATGGGGGGGACGGAGGAAAGGGAGGAACATTTGTGAGGAAGAGGAGGAGGAGAAGGAGGAGGAGGAGGAGGGATGTAAGAGAAAGGAAGGAAGGATGGATGCATGTACGGATGGAAGGAGGGAGGGTGGAGGGAAAGGAAGGGAGAACTGGGAGGCATGGGAGGAAGGGGGGCAGGGAACCACGAGGGAGGAGGATAGAAGGAGGGAAGGAAGGAGGGGAGGAGGGGAGGAATGGAGGAGCCAGGTCAAAGGATGGAGGAGTCGAACCCGAGAAGGGAGGAGGGAGGAGGGAGGGGGGAGGGCGAGCGCAGAGAGGAGGACGAGGAGGGGGAGGAGAAGGAGAAGGTGGAGGAGGACCAAAAGAATCCCAGGATGCCACAACGATGCTGCAACACACCTTTCCGTCCCACGCTCCCTCCTCACAAGTCCGTGCAAGCCTTCCTTTTCTCTGCCCGATGCGCCCTCTTTGAACCAGGAGCACCCCAATGGCCTGCCATTCCGGCGAGAGCTCCGTTCTGAACGTGAATTTGCTTGCGTCCTTCTTCTGAGCCTTGTAGAAGACAACGGGGTACGGTCGTAAAGCTCAGCGAGGTGTTCAGCGGGAGTCCCGTTACAAGTCTACTCTTACGTCTGGCCTGTCCCTCTACAGCAGGAACATTCAAAAATGTCAGAAAATGGTCAGGGGACGATTTTGGGGAGAATTTTTTTTTTCTATTGTTGAGCATGGTTTGTGTTATTTTTAATTGTGCGCCCACAATCCCCCTGTAGGGGGACATGCCCGACCTAAGCCGTAGTCTTCCGATTATTCACGCTGGGGACATCTCACGCGACAACACCATGCGGAGGAGGAGCCGCGCCCCACCCATGCAGCTGTCACAGCCATGCTCAAGCTGCCGGCCGTCCGATGGGAGGACGCCTCAAGCGCGAGCCGCGTGCCGAGAAGGTACGGTGGGGGCGTTCGTTCAGGAACGTGCCCAGGAGGCTTCAGACCCTGGAGGGTTCCTTACCTGATGAGGGCGGCGGTGTTATCCATGGCCAATCCACGATTGGCGTTTCACTGGCTTCCAGACCCTGTATTCCTTATCGAAGGTTTCCTTATCCAATGCCATCACCGTAGAGGCCCTCGCCCCTGAAGCTGCCACAGCACGTGCAGACGAAGGTTCGCGGCGCCGAGGCGAGGTCCCCAGGAGCGTGTTTCTCTAATTGCCTGGGGCACAATGGGCATTCTAGCCCCTGGCCCCTTCTCCCCCCCCCCCCCCCCCCCCGATAACGTAACGCCCCCCCCCCCCCAGTGCGCTCTGGGCACTGCCGCCGTGCGCACGGCGCGGGGAGGCGTTACATTATACCCCCCCTGGCCCCTCCCCCCCCCTTAATGCCCATTATCGCCGGAAATAAAGAAACGCGCTCCAAGTTGAACACGTACCGCGCTCCATGTTTGTCATAGTTGCAATCTTGTTCGCCGTGGGCAGGGGTTGGCCAGGTCCCTGGTTACCGACTTCTTGACTTCCGGACAGGATGTAATCGCCTCTTCCCCCCGTAGGGAGCGGGCTGAACCCTCTGCAAGGCAAACGTGTTGCAAGCTTTTGGGACGAATACGCGCGCCGCAATAGCGAGAGCCACATTCTGAAGACGCCTCCATCTTCGTAATTGCTGTAAGTTTGCAAGACGATTGCTTGCGGCGCTTAGGCGAGAGCCCCATTTTCAAAAGGAGCCGTTCTCAATGCTTTGAAGTATGCTGCAGCATTTCATGACGGATGTGCGCGGCGCTAAGGCGGGAGTCCCTTTTTGAGATCGTACCGCTTTCCACCATTGTTATTGTTGCAAGCTTTTACGCCGAATGTGCGCGACGCCAGGGCGAGATCCCAAATTTGAAGACGTACCGCCCTTTACCCGCGTAAACACGACGCAATCTGACCCTTGGGTTCCAAGAAGGCATCAACTACCAGCCCCCATCCTTTTTGCGATGACTGCTTGCGGCGCTAGGGCGATAATCCCTAGTTAGAACAAGTGCTGGTCTCCATCTTTATAAACCGCGGGAAGAAACACGGGGACTATGACCAAGATGTCGCGGGATGTTGTCGATGCCGATCTTGGCCAATGTCCATGTAGACCGTGCCCATTCGCGAGGATGATCTACGAGTTGACGCTGATCAAGATCGGCGCTGACCAAGATCGACACGACGTTTCCGCATTCAGTCTTGGTCTTGGTCCTTACTTTTTACCCCTCCAATGATCACAGCAAGCTTTTGTAGTATTTCGCTCGTTCAAGTGATTGTAGGCTGTTTCAGTGCTGTCGGCCGTTTCTGGCCTGGCTCCTCCTTTCTCGGAAGGATGCCTTGTACGGGCAGTCTGGACTGTTTCGTGCCCTCTCTCCTTCTCGCCCTTCTGGTTCTCCCTCCCTGTACTTACAGTCGAGGCTGATTAGTAGGTCGACCCCGCCAAATCAAGGGCACCCTTGTGTCCTGTGTCTCGTGGCCCATGCCTCCTGCATCCCTATGGCAATGTGGCCCTCGGAAGGATTTTGTGCCCTCTCGCGTGTCCACTCCAATTGTTTCTCTTCCTTTGCGCCAGGTCAGGCCGTTGCCAGTCTGCACCGCCCCCCGACGCCGCCCGACCTCTCGCCGCGGTCGCGATCAAAAACGTGTCCACTCCAATCGACCCCGACTGTACTTGCTTCCGCCCGTGAGGGGAGGTGGCGCGAGCGCTGCCACCGCAGCCCTGGAGGGGTACGCGCGCGCGGGCTCTTCCTCTCTTCTTGTCCCCTGCCTCTCCCCGTTGTCCTCCTCCTCCCCCTGCTCTCCTTCCGTCTGCCCGCGAGGGGGCACTTGGAGAGAGGGCCGCCGGCAGGGCCTTTGTGAGTGAATGCGCGCGCGCGTGGCCCGCGCCATGCCGTATTTCGAATGCTGCCGGTTGCGCGCTCACGTGCTCGGTGCCATGGTCCGCAGACGCCCTACGGCGATGCAGGCAACGGCGGCGCAGGCTTCGGCATTGTACGTGTGTTGGTTCGTGGCCAAGCCGAGTGCAGGGAAGCGTGGCTCAAGGTGTCCTACAACTCGCTGTGGTGTTCTTGCTCCATACATTCGCACATCTGGAATGTAGGAAAGCGTGGTTCGTGATCTGCTACCATTTGTTCTGCGCGAGTTCGGCATCGCCAAAATCACATTCCCAACATCACCGTTCACCGACATTGCCGGTGGCGCGGCCTTGGATCGTGTGCATAAGACGCTCGGCTGTCGCCGAGGGTTTCGTAGACTTTACGCCGCTGGGTTGCGTGCAAGGGGCCCTTTACTGCTGCGCTTGTATTGCTGCTATGGAGTAGACGGCCGTAAGCTTTTAAGACGAACGTGCGCGACGCTAAGGCAACAGCCCTTTAGGATCGGGCCTCAACCCGTGCAACTGATGCAAATTTCAAGCTACGGGAAAGTACAGTGCCGGATGTCTCCAGCGAGACGCCTGGCTCGCTCTACGGACACGTCGGGCGGCACGGCAGGACGGGGTTAGCTATCAAGACAAAGGGATGGGGGAGGAGGTGGAGGACGAGAAAGAGGAGGAGGACGAGGAGGAGGACGACGACAATAAAGAGGAGGAGAGGAGGAGGAGGAGGAGGAGGAGGAGGAGGAGGAGGAGGAGGAGTAAGGGGAGGAGTAGGAGGAAGAGGAGAATTCAGAAGGTGATGCGAGGAAGGGCGAGAGGGAGGGAGGGAGGGAGGGAAGAGGAGGAAGAAGGCACGAAGGAGCAGAGGAGGAACAGGAGGAGCGGAGGAGGAGGAGAGAGGTTCGCGCGCGTGCACCCCCGCGTGGCGCCGCTTCGGCCGGCCGTAAGCCGTGGACCTCCCGTGTCGTGGTGCGGGCCCCCCCGCCACCGAAAGACAAGAGCAGCGGGCCCTCTCTCCTCGCAGCTCGTCCTCCTCCTTCCCTTTTTTCCTCCTCTTTCTCTGTCTTTCCTCTTCCTCTCCGCTTCGCTTCCTTCTCTCTTCTCTTAACTCCTCTCTTCTCCTCCTCCTCCTCCTTGTCCTCCTTCTTTCTTTCGACTCCTCCTCCTCCTCCTCCCCTTCCTCCTCCTCCTTCTCCTCCTCCTCCTCCTCCCCTTCCTCCTCCTCCTCCTCCTCCCCTTCCTCCTCCTCCTCCTCCTCCTATTCCTCCGCCTCCTCCTCATTTTCTTCCTCCTCCTCCTCCAAATTCCCAGTCCCTTCCTCCGCAGTGTCCTCCTCTGTGTCTGCCTTTTTTGCCACAGGCCCGCGCTCCATGCCCAGGGAGATTGGTCTGCTCTGACGCCGTCTTGGCCGCGTGGGTTTGACCGCCTGGCAGGACTCCCGTGCTCCAGTGCGTGCTACTCGGACACTGCATCCTTCGGCACTGTTCCACCATCCCCCCCCCTCCCTTGTCCCTCCTCCCTCCTCCTCCAGCGCCTTGTCCCCTCCACCTCCTCCTCCTCCTCCTCCTCCTCCTCCTACCCCTCCCTTGTCCCCCCTCCCTTCTCCCTCCTCCCTTGTCCCCGTCCCTTGTCCCTTCTCCCTCCTTCTTATCCTCCCTCGTCCCTTCTCCTTCCTCCCTTATTCCTCTTAGTACTCCTCTTCTTCTTCTTCTTCTGCTTCTTCGTTTTTTTTCTTAGTATTACTATTATTATTCTTATCATTCGTAGTAGTCTATGTTTTCGTGTCAGTTTTCTTCTCATGCGTTTTAGTATTCGTCGTATTGCTAGTAGTCGTACGATTATCATTATTACTGCCCGTATTCGTATTGTTATTATTGTTCTTATTCATGTCAGTATTCCTCTTCTGTTTATCAGTACTACTATGTTTTATCATTCGTGATTATTTTTCTTATTGCT